AAGGATGTGCAGGCTGTGCATACATGGGACTCAGCTCCTCCTGTGTGGTGAGGTGATTTAACCCCCTAATCTTTCTATGTTGCAGTTGTTTCATGTACAAAGTAGGGATTATGGTTCTGCATTTTTCATCATGTTGTGAGAGTTAAATGAATAATAAAGGAGAAATGGTTAGCATAGTGTTGAATGCATAGTCCGTGATCAATAGAGGGAAACATTATAACTTAATATGCAAGCATGAGCAAAAAGAGTGAAGGAGTCAAAGTTTGGACAGCAGTGATCCACTTTTGCTATCCTGACATGGGGGCCTCAGTCTCCTCAGGCATCTCTATGATGCTCTGTGACCGCATCTGGTCTATTACTTTCTGTGGTATAGAAATGTACTCACTGTGGGCATGGTGGAGCACACCTGTAATCCTAGCACTCTAGAAGGCCAAGGCAAGAAGATTGGAAATTTGAGGCCATCCTGTACAGTTCAGTAATTTAGTGAGACCTTGTCTCAAAATAAAAGAATAGAAAGGGCCAGGGAGGTAGCTCAGTGCAAAGGCCCTGGGATCAGCCCCCAGTAGCACAACCCAAACAAAATTAAAAGCAAAAAGAAAAACAAAACTAAAGCCCTTACCTCTTACTTTTACCTTTGTCAAACACTGCATGTTTTATATTCCACCTGCCATTAGAACAATGGCATCAAAGAAATCTGATTGGGTGGAGTGAATTGTTTCCTAGTTGGATCTAGATATGTATGTTAAATCTTAAAATCAGATAAGTCAAGAAAGTAAAATTTCAAAAGAGCAAATGGAAATCTGGGAAAAGATGCAGGTGAAATAGGAAAGTAAAAGGAGGAAGTGTAAACAAGGAGTAGCAAGCCACTCCACATTGTGCATTTCATGAGGGCAAAAACTGGGACTTCTCACCTCTGTGCCATCAGTCTTCTTTGTATAATGCTGTGCTCACCTGAAGAGTTCAATAGATTTATGGAGTAAGTGGTGAATAGCAAAAACCACCCAGGGCTCTGGAGGGAGTGACCAAGATCAGGGTTCCAGATGAAGGAGAATTAAGGATAGGTGAGAGGTTTAAGAGGGTCTGCGCTGTCCCTTTGTGCCCTGAATGAAACAAAGAGGTGAACACCTAATGGTTTGGTCTGTATCTCACTTTCACCGAGGCTGTGTGATCTTGAGCAAACCAATTATGCTGAGCTTCAGCACAGCAAAATATTTACTTGGTGCCATTCATTGCTTATTAAAGCAGCCAGGCACAGGACAGGAGACAGGCAAAAATGATGTTTCTATTTATCTTCTCCCAATTTTCCCTTTCTCTCCACCATCCAGATTTGCTATTTTGCTCCTGTCATGAACAGTTAACAACAAAATGCCACTGCTGGTATGGGATATTGTGAAAGAATGTTGGTGGATTATTGCAAAATCTGTGTCCAAAGCAAAACAATACAAACATCTGTCCTTCTGGTGGTAGAGTTAGCAACGGCGACCTTGTACATAAAGGACAGCACTTTATGTTTTATTAAATGCAGAGGTGGTGTAAAGACCTGGTAAGTGATGGGTTTTGTGGCCAGACAGACTTGGTTTTGTCACATGCGCTTGCCATCCTAGCCAGCTCAATTACTTAACTTCTTTGTGCTTGGGGTTCCACATCTGCAACGTATCTACTTCATTTGTTCATTCATTCCTGAGCACCTACCACACTTCCGGTATGTGGAGGTGCTGGTAAAGCAATGATGGCCGCCGGCTTGCAGTCGGTGTGGAGTGCAGAAATCACACTCACTTGTGGGGTGCTGAGCCCTGAGGACTCAGGTGATTCCTGTGGAGACAGAGGAAGATTGCTAAAGATGGGGGGAACCAGGCATATGAAGGTGCACAGGTTTCAAGAGCTAAGGGTCAGCTGAAGCATGGAGTTCCAAGGGCTGGGAACCATTTAAGCCTAAATGGATAAGTATTAGGAAGGGCCTCAGAAGCCACATTGAAAAGGTCAGAGTTTATCCTACGTGTGACAAGAGAGCTTCCCCATGGTACTTCCCAGTGGGGCTAGAGTTCAGCAGGACCCACTGAATGTAATCTACTTTCCAAAAGCTTTATGATGCACATTAGAATTAGTATTTCTGTGGTGAGGAATTCATTTTAATACTTGTTTTTGTTTTTGATACCAGGGATTGAACTCGGTCCTTGTGCTTGCAAGAAGGCAGGTGACAGAACAATATTTGTTTAACTGCCTTCCAAAACCTAAAAAATATTGAAAGTATATATTACTCTTATGAACTGAGGTTCTGGAGAACCTTCTTGGGTGAAATGATAAGAAGTGGGAAGACCTTTCAGAGTTGTAGATTGGGACAAGCATACCAGTATTTGCTTTTATAAATATACAATAATATCTACCACGTATGGGCTCCAGATACTCTTCACAGTGCTGAGCTAATTTAGTTCTCTTAACAAGTGTGGCAGGTGGGTAGTATTAATTTTTGCATAGTTAAAATGAGGAAATCACAGCATAAAGGAATTTTGTCATTTTCTAAAGTTACAGAGCTGGTTATAAGTGGATAAGCTTGAGTGTGACCTCAGTCAATCAGCTTTAGCACTGCATACAGCAGGTCAATCCGTCTGCCTAGGAGCATGAATTACCATCAGGTAAGACTGGGACAGGTAGGAGGGGTCAATGATGCTGTAACTCAGGTAAAGGGTGGACTTCATACATTGTGTGTTCAGAAGATTAGAGATATAATGGGATAGCATACTAGAGAACAGTCAAGGAGTGCTAGTTTTCCCGTGCACACATGGAAATTTAATATGTGAAAGGCATGTATTGTGGATTCGCGGGGAAGGCAGGATGTGTAAATTTGCCAAAATAAAGTATCACAGATGGGCGGATTAAGGAACAGAGTTTTATTGTCTCACAATATAGAGGCTGGAAGTCTGAAATTAAGGTTCTAACAGTTTGGTTTCCTCTGAGAACTGTGAGGAAGGATCTATTTGAGGCCTCTAGAGCTTCTTGGTTTATAGATGGCCATATTAATGTTTACATTTTATGTGTCCTGTACCCACATCTGCCTCCAGATTCTTTTTATAAGGACAACAGTCATATCAGACAAGGGCCCACATAATGGTTTCATTTAAACTTGATTACCTCTGTAAAGATTGTCTTCAAAATAAAGTTACATTCTGAGGTACTTTGACATAAATTTGGGGGAGAAACTCAGTCCATAACAGAGGGATTATTTAGTAATGGTATCTCCAAAATTACTTATCCTCATGGAGAAAAACACCTGTAGTCCTACCTTATGTCATAGTCAAGAGTCATTATATGAAAAGTTAAAGAATGTGAATGGTAAAAATGGTAAAATATCAGGAAATATATAGTAGAACATCTTCATCATGTAAGGTCTGGAAAGGCTTTCAAAACTCAACATTGAAAAGGCTAAAATTCAACACAAAAGATGAGATTTAAAATAGTTAATATTTATTACACTAAAATTAAGACCTGTAAAAGAGACAGTATAAAGAAAATGAGAAGGCAAATTGTAATTTGGAGGAAAAAAGTATTTATAAAACATACACTTTGCAGCTGGAAGATTTGTATCTAGAAGTCAATAAATTAATAAGAAGAAGACAAATTCAGTGAAAAAATTAGACAAAAGAAATTGAAGAGACATTTCATGGAAGAAGAGACATAGATGCAAAAGGAAATTTAAATCCACAATGGGATGTCATTTCACAGCCATCTTGTTGGTAAAAATTAAAAAGCAGTACAACTGAGAGCATTGTCAGGAAAACAGATGAAAGGGGACTCAAATACAGAGCTTCGGGGGGTGTGAACTGATACAAGTTTAGCATTATCTTGTGAAGTGCGGCGGTCTCACGTCCTCTGAGTCAACAATTTCACTGAGGTGCATAACCTAGGGGAAACTCTTATCAAAGGTGAATGATGAAAGACTGTTCACAAGAGAATACTTTATAAAATCAGTACAATAACCCAGGCAGCTATTGATGGGTGAAATTTCAAGCTTTGGATATCCAAATTGTGTTAGCCTTTCTGTTGGTGGGACACCAATACCTGACACCCACAACTTAAAGAGGAGAGTTTAATGTGCCTTACCATTTCTGGGGATTTGTTCTATGTTTGGCTGGCTCCAAACAGAGACATCATGGGGGAAAATCATAGCAGCAAAGCTGCTTAATTCATAGTGCTCAGGAGGCAGAGGAGCAGAGCCAGAGAGGAAGGTGTGTGGGCCATAGATAGTCTGTCCCCAAGGCTGCACCTCCCTGACCCACCCAGACACACCCAGAAGTATGCCTCACCGATTCCCTCCATAGCTTCCAAGCTAATTTGAAACAATTAAGCTTAAACATAACACAAATAGAGCACTTTATAAATGAGTAAATTGCTATGGTATATATCAATATACATGACCTTTGAAAATCTTGCATGAAAACAAGCAAGTTGTAGAACAGGGCAAAATCATCTATTGGCTTGGTCCACACAGCTTTGTCTTTGTCTCCTCCAAACACTACTGGTAAAAGTTGAGATCTCTGAATTTCTTGAATAGCTAGATGTACAACTGACTAGGTCTATTCAAGTGTCTACTTCTAAGAAGAAATGATGCAACTGTGCTGCTTTTCAGGAGGGTTTATTAGCTTCCTCCCCCTAGTATTTTGTCTGTTAGTTCCTTTCATCTGCGGATTCACCAATTCTCAATGATTAGCTCTGGGGCTCTGATAAAGGAATCAGATTTGGGCTGCATAAGGCCAGAAACAATGTGTACATATGTGTTTTTGCTGAAAGGGAGATAATTGTTCTTTCTTCCTTATCGATTAGCACTTTTTTCTACTAATAAAATATTCTCTCTGGAGGCAAAGACAAGCAACTGTTTTAGAATCTTTTATTAATACTCAGGAAGAATCGTCTTCATTAGGGAATGGAATCTAAATGAACATTTTAACCATCTATGTAAAATAGATTTAAAAACAATGTGGTTTTGTAGTACTTTGAAAAAGAAACTAATACTGTTTTGGGGATATTACATGATGAATGTTATGATTTGATGCTGAATTAATGCGAATTTCTTTTCTTTTCCCTACCCAGTAGGTACAGGAGCTGAAGTTAGCGAGGTGCTCCAGAGAGAGACTGAGAGTTTTTGAAAAGCAGAACTACAACACTGGAAATGCTAATTGTAACGCTTATTAATTTAAATACTTGGTGAGTGGTCCTGGGGAAGAGGGAGAGATGACCAAGCTTCCGCAGGAATTCATTTCAGTGGGAGAGACACAAGCAAACTAATAAGTTCAACTTACTGTGATTCTCTCTCTCTCTCTTTTTTTTTTTTTTTGGTACCAGGGATTGAACTCGGGTCCTTGTGCTTGCAAGGCAGGCCACCGAACCGCTGAGCTAAATCGCCGGCCCCTTTACTGTGATTCTTGCTATTAATCATTAAAAGAAAGAACAGTGCTCTGTGTCACTCACATTTTGAGTGTGACTTATTACACAGTTGTTCTTTGGATATTGGCCATCCAGGGGTAATAGTTCCCTGCCAACCAAAACGTTCATTTAACCAAAACATTCAATCCTCAGGCCATATCCCAGCAACCATTTGTTTTATAAATTATAATCATATCATTTAAAAAACATCTCAATATCTACCACAGGAGAAAACAGTGCAACTGTGGTTTTCTATGGTTAATAGCTAATTTATTTTATCTCACTTTTGCATTTTATGATTCTTTCCAATTTCCAGGAATTTGAGTCCCCTTCTGATTCGAAAATGGAGAAGTGGAATTTATTTCCACGTGGCACTAGTGGTAGCAACATTTTACTAAAATATAAAGAGCAAAAGTCAGTGATAGATTCATATAGCATATAGCAGGAAAAATGAGAGTTAATAGGAAATGATCAATGTAATATTAGTGAAAAAGCAATTATGATATAAATGGCTGAAATCATATTGGTAATAAAGTCAATAGTTCTTATAAAAATCTGATCTCCAGTCATTCGAGAGATGCAGATGAAAGCAACACTGAGATTCCACCTCACCCCACAAAGAATGGCTGCTATCAAGAAATCATCCAATAACAAATGCTGTCAGGGCTGTGGGGAGAAAGGAACCCTTCTTCATTGTTGGTGGGAGTGCAGACTGGTGCAACCACTATGGAAATCAATATGGAGATACCTCAAACAACTAGGTTTAGAAGTCCCATTTGACCCAGCTATACCCCTGCTGGATATCTTCCCAAAAGAATTAAAAGAATCACACCATAGTGATATATGCGCACCTATGTTTGTAGTGGCACAGTTTGTAATAGCTAAAACTTGGAAACAGCCTAACTGACCATCAACTGAAGGCTGGATAAAGAAGATGTGTGTGTGTGTGTGTGTGTGTGTGTGTGTGTGTGTGTGTGTGTGTGTGTGTGTTTATAAAATGGGGTACTACTCAACCATAAAGAATGAGAAGCTAGAGACATTTAAGACATTTATAGCCAAGTGGATGCACATTGGGGATATATTCTTAAGTGAAATTAATAGGACACACGTGTAAATACTGAATAGTTTCTCTGGTGTGATAAAGTGTAAATAAGAATCAAAATGTAAAATTGATATTGTACAATAGAAAAAAATGTCTAAAAGTGTAGGGGAAGTGGGAAGGGTAGGGGAAAAGAAATAAGGGAAAAATCTGAGAAAACAAAAAAAAAGGAAATAAAGTTTTTGTAAATAGGGAAGGGAGGAGGGGGATGAAGGGAGGGCAGGGACAAGGGAAAAAAATGAGAACTAAGACCTGTCATGTAAAGGTACAAGATCCCAATGATGAATGTAACTGTAGTGTATACCTAAAAAGTACCAGGGGTGGGGGACAAAAAAACAAAAAACAACAACGAAAGAAAGAAAAGAAAAGAAAAACAAACTGATCTCCACAAAATTTGTCAAATGTGAATCTCCTTGGGTACACATATCACCAGAAATTCTCTCACCTGTGCATGAACTTTTGTAACCACGGATAGGTTAGTAATGTTTTACCTGTAAGTGCTCCTCAAGAATGTACAAGGGTGATCTAAAAATACGGTGAATGCTTCAATTTTAAGAAACTGTTACAGTAAAAGACACATTGCCATTAATCTCGGTCCAAATACTTCCTCATCCCCTAGCCTCCAGCACACTTATCGCATCTTCCTTGCCACTTTCTGAAGCGGTTCTGGAAGTTCTTTTTTGTTAGTGGGAGATATGATCTCCCACTTTTATTTGGGAGATGTGATCCAAAATACAGTGTATGCGGCTTGTTAGTGCCATCCAACGGAAAGGCAGGCGCAGAAAAACACTGTAGTGTGTCCTCATCCACCTTACTCACGGGATCGCACACCGAGTGACTTTTAGCTCTTCCCCAAAGTCAAAATGACCATGAAAAGTAAATGTTTTGAATTCACTCAGCACCTCCAGGCAGCCTCTCATGAAAAAGGCCCTCAGAACTGCTCCAGAAAGAGGCAAGAAAGAGGGCATAAGTGAATTCGAAGCGAGGCGAAGTGTTTTTTTTGGTGGGGGGTAAAGGCAATGTGTCTTATGCATTTTACATTTAAACACACTGTATTTTCAATCACACCTCCTATCTTTCCCTTCTCATTCTGTAGGCAGCTGCAGGAGTCCAGTGTCTCCATTCACAGCAGTTGGCCGGAACACCTGCTTTTCACCCCCTGGGGATATCAGTCCCTAAGTTCTGCCTCTCTTTCTTTGTGCCTACGGGTTGGACTTGAAATGACTTCAGTCTGCAAGCTCCATCTATCTGACCGCCCAACACTCAAGAGCTAGACTTTTCTCCCGGCTCCGTCGTGAAGCCTCAGAAATGGCCCCTCTCACTTGACCTGAGTTTACCTAAAACAAAGCTACTGGTAGCTGGTCTGGCTGCAGGGAAGGCAGCTCTGCTGAGGACCGGGCGGCCGTCGCCTCGGAGCACGGTGCCCTAGTCCCTGCGGGTGCCGCGCCGGACCGGTGGAAAAGGGGGCGGAGAGGAGAGAGCAGAGGAAGGGGCGGAGGTCACCCGAGCCCTCCATCCCGCCCAGCCTGCAAACGGCGGCTAAGGTGCGGCGGATCGCAGGGTT